CCTGCACGGGTGTGTCCTTCCCCTCTGGGGTGTGCATCCACCCCGTCCTGGCCGCTGGTACAGCTGGTACAACACAGCAGCTCTCGGCACGGACAGTGCAGCCCGAGGAGCAGGAAGGCGGCTGCAGAGGTCCCGCCTCCCCACTAACCCTGTGGCCTGTCGCTCTTCGCAGCTACTTCCTGAGCACCGAGGACCTGCCCCGGAGACGCCAGCTCTACAGGTACCCCGGCTCCACCTGCTCGCAGGGACCCTCCCTTTAGGCGGCTGGGCCTTGCGGGGATCGCTCCTTTTCAACAGCACAGTGAGGGCAGGGGCAGCAGAGAACAACAGTCGACCCCTCCCTGAGAAGCTGTGAAGTCTGGAGACAAATCACAGAACCACGAGGTCGCCAAATCTGAGGCGTTCTTTCTACTTTTCTCCTTTTGTTGAAATGAACTTTCTCACCCCTTAAAGAGGGATGCATTCTACCTGTCCTTCCCTCCCCCTTCCTTGGAATAGTAACTTAAGGAAGTAGCCTCCGCTGGGTTTCGAGGAGCCCAGAGTCTGGCTGGGAAAGCACCGTGGACTGAGCGTTGCGGGAGAGCTGGCAACTCTGTCGGCTCACTGCGCACATGCGGATGAGGCACCAACGCCTGCAGGGGATCCGGGCTTCCTGGGGTAGTTGGCCACCTGCCCCAGTTACCGTTCTCGCGGCAAGAGGTTGCTGGCACTGCTGGGAGACTACCCACCAGCAGCGCAGCGGTGAGAGCAGGCGGCCTGGCCCTCCTCGGTGCCTTCCAGAGCAGGAGGGGTCGCGGCCAGCTGCCGCCTGGGTGCGTGTCAGCCACCCAACGGGACATCAGGGCAGGGCCGCGGGCTGGACGCCCAGCATTCAGAGTCTGGGCTGGGCCACGCCACTGGCCTCCCACCCAGACCCCGCTGCTGCGGTGGGGGGGCCATTGGTGCAGGGGCCGCCCCTCCCACACTCTGGGCCCTCTTGGGAGAGTGGGGGTAGTGAGACAGCACCCAGGGGCCAGGGGAAGGGAGGGGAGCTCCTAGTGGATCCACGTGGCCCAGACTTGCTTCTCCGGGTAGACAGCTCCGCAGTGTGCTAGGCTCCCCTAACTTGGGCTGGGGCCTTCTCCCTCACTTTTGGAGACAGGCTGCTGTGGGGACCTGCAGCTGAGAGACCCTCCCCACCCCTGCATCAGAGCAGCCTAGAGACCGGTGCTGCCCCACCTTCCATCTTTGGAACCCCATTCCAGGCATCTTGACCTGAAATGACCTTGGCCGGAGCGGCCCTGTGACACCCGCACACCGTCCTCATCTGCTTCCCTCTCTCAGAGCTCGCTTTTGGGAACTGTCAGAGCTCAGTTCCTCTAGGGTCCATGGGCTCTGCCTGTCAGGGCCAGTGTGTGGCACTCAGAGAATGCTGAGGCTACACAGAGTGCTCCCTGCTGCTCTGGAGCCGCAGCTTCTGCTCAGACAAGGCGCAAAGAGAGGACACACTAGGGCCACAGCGCCTTCTGGCCCGGGCCCTGCGCAGAGCCCAAGTAGGGTAGCACAGAGCCCAAGCAGGGCAGCGCAGAGCCTGGGAGGGCACCTGGGAGGAGCTGCCGAAACAGCTTGAGGGTGGGCAGGATGCCGGGTAGGAGGGCTGCAGGGCTGGGGACCCAGGGCTGGGCCTTCCCACCCTGCAGCAGACTCAAGCCCGGGGAGCCGAGAGCAGGCACAGCGGGGGGAACGTCTGAGCAGGCTCGGAGCACCTGTGTGAGGTTGCCGTCCGCACCTGGCTCACATCCGTCTGCTCTTCCAGCGCCAGCACCGTGGGCACCTTCAACAGGCAGTGCCTGTCCTGCGACTTGGTGGAGAACTGCACCTACTTCAGCGCCTCCTTCAGCCCAAGCACAGACTTCTTCCTGCTCAAGTGCGAGGGTAAGCCCTGCCCCTGACAGCTGCAGGCGCGTGCTGACTGCTGTCCCAGAACAGGTGTGGGTCGCACCTTTTCCTCGTAGCTGGACCTTATGTGGTTCAGTTCCCGTAAGCCCCCACTCTGGGTTGAAGTCTGACTGGCATTTCCCAAGAGCTCTCTGGCCCTGGGTTCAGATAGGGAAGTTCTGGTTTCCCACATGGTGGGTATAAATATAGTGCCCAGGGGCGAGGTCCTCTGGACACGTCGCGCTTGGAGATCACCACGTAGCTGCTACGTACCTGCTGCACTCCCTCCTCAGGGACAGCATGGCCTTTCCTGGCGTGTCTCTGCCAGTCTGGGGACTTCCTCTGTTTGTGGAGCTGCTTGTGTTTTCTGTGAGTGCTTGGTGAGAAATGAGGGCACCTCAGCGCTGTCGGTAAAAGAAAACAGAAGTGGAAAAGAGTGTAGTGACGCTAGGTCAGATGCTCGAGTGACCCAGTGCACTGAGCACCTCCACACTCGGCCTCCGAGGGGGCGGGGTGCCCCTCCACAAACACCTGGATCCCCACAATAATCCAACAGGTTCATGGCATTCGAAGAGCAGGACTAGATCTCAGAGATCATGCAATGCGACCCGATCCAATCCCCTTCTCCATTTTCTTGATTAAAAAATTGAATTCTTGGGGTCTGCAGTTAGCATAATGGCTGCGTTGCTGGACTTCCATGTAGTCGACCACGGTTCGAGTTCCAGACCCAGTGGCTTAAACTCAGGCCAGGCGTGTGTGCGTGCATGCCCGAGATCCCAAGAGGAGAATGGTGGAGAAGGGATTGTGGCATAGCCATCCCCCCTGGAGGGTGATTTCTCACTTTCTGTCTCTCTGTCTCTCTCTGTCTTTCTGGCAAGCACACGCACCCTATAGCAAAAAAAAAAAAAGAAAAAGAAAAAAAGAAACTGAAGTCTTAACTGATCATGAAGGTGTCACTCCAAGATTTTCTGAATTATTTAAAATCTATTTAAATATTTAGCCCGTTGCCTCATATTAAGGGAAAACAGACTAGCTCTCTTAAATAATTGCTTTATAAAACATTTCTGTAATCACTTTTTTCCAGCTAAGGTAACTTGAATGACCTCATTAACCTCTCCTCCCAAACCTAACCAAAAACCACTTTAAAAAGGAGATTTTTCTAAAAAAAAAAAAAAAAAAAAAAAAAAAAAGGCAGAAGTTTTCAAAGATTACAAAATAAACGAGGATTCAATAACAGCTAACTTTCCAACCTGGAAGCATTTATAAGAGATAACAAACTAGCAGGCCTGAAAGCTGAGCCCTTATCTTGCAATAAGGAACGCTGAGTGGCAGCTGAGTTTACACCACAGGCATTGGCAATGATTGCCACAAGGGATGAAAAGAAGAACTGCTGTGAGATTCCAAAGGAGAAAATGATGAGCTTAGTTGGGTTGCTGAGTTTTTTGGCTGGGACAGAATTAAAGAAGACTTCACAGTTTAGGTGAAATAAATGGTTGAGTAGGACTTAGAAACTGAACAGTCCAAGGGGATAGTTTGGCACAAGAAAAAGCACAAGGCTTGGGGCCAGGAGGTGGTGTGGTGGTAAAGGTGCTAGACTCCCACATGTCCAACTGTAGATTAAATGGTGTCTTGTTTTCTCTCTCTCTCTCTCTCTCTCTCTCTCTCTCGAACACACAGGCCCTATAGTCAATTAAAATAATAATAAATAAAATAATTCTTAAAAAAATAGAAAGATGCACATTCTAAGAGTGTGTAGCCAGCCCATGAATCACAGTCAATCCAGAGGATATTCATATTTAAGAAGCCCAATATAATAACCAAAGATACTTTAGAATGATTTCACTTTCCCACACTTCTCAGTGGTTGTTAAAGTAAACACAAATGTGTAGACCACAACGTGCCATACTCCCATTTCCTGCTTACTTAGTTCTTTCTCATCCCGAAGCCACCCAAAGAGACTCTTGGAGGGACCAACAGGTGGTGTAATGGTTATGTCACTGGACTCTCACATGGCCGACCATGGTTAGAGTCCTTGACCTAGAGGCTTGAAACTCCTGCTGGGTATTTGTGTGTTCCCAAGACACCGAAAGAAGAATGAAGAAGAAGGGATTATGGTGTGGCCATCTCCCCAGGTGGTGATTTCTTGCATTCTGTCTCTGTCTCTCCAATGAGAGTGTACACAAATTATAGCAAAAATCTCCTTCTAAAAAAGAGAGAAAGAGAGAGAGAGAGACTTTTAGAAACTTTGGCAAAAATATCTTGTCTCCTCCTAGTATGGAGGACTCTTGCCTTCTTCCCCCTCCTGTTCCTTTAGCATTATCAGGTTAATTTATTCCCCTAGATGAAATGAGAGCCCCCCAAAATTCTACAAATTATTCTCTTGTATATGGAGTGAAAATATATTGGCAGTGAGGGGATTCTCTTTGGTGAATTAGGGAAAGGGAAATTTGTAAATGCTCCTACATTCAAAATTTTTGAAACCGCAGAAGTTCAGTTATGTGGGCACAGGCAGAGAGAATAGTCAGAAGACTTAGCAACTAGATGAGGCAAACACCAACCAGCTGAAGTAGGTGCCTAGTCAGAGTAAACACAAGCCTCACACCATATTAGGACATAAGGGCTGGGTATTATACTAGCAGTTGTAAAATCATGACATTGCAAGAACCCTATATCAACTTGATCATCCTTCTTACCTTTCTGTGGACATTCCATTAGAACAGGTTTTCATGAGTTTATCTGATAAAGTATCCCTGTAACTTATGGAGTTGTCAAAAAAGTCATGATGTGTTTTTCTATGCAAAAATGTATCATGACTTTTCCAACAACTCAATACATTACAGTTCTCAGCACTGTCACTTTGCCATCTTAGTCCATTTGGGGTACTATAAATAAGTACCACAGACTGGATGGCTTGTAGAAAACAAGTTTATCTCCCACAGCTCTGGAGGCTGGAAGTTTGAGCTTGAGGTGTTAATATGGTTAGGTTCTGGGAGGTTGTTTTTCTGGGCTGTTGAAGCCACCTTCTCATTGTGTCCTCACATGGCAGCAAGAGGAAAGAGAGATCTTGGGGATCCCTTTTACAAGAACACTGAGCCCATTCCTGGGACTCCACCCTCATGTCCTCATCAGCTCTGAAAGGCCTCACCTCCTAACACCATCATCTTGGGGATGAGGATTTCAATATCTGAATGGGAGGACACATACATTCAGTCCTTCGGAATCGTAGCTGATTGTAGCTCATCGGTTGTTTGCATTAGTTCTGCTATTGCTGTTGGTCAGTCCTTCCTACACTGGCCTTCTCCTAATGTCCAGTTGTTCTTCTATAGTAGATGATGTCCTTCTTCATTATTGTAGCACTCCAAAGTTAGTCCTGTCACCACGTGGCACTCTCTAATTTTTCATCCACATTTCTGCTGTGATTTCTCAAGGTTTGACTTTCTTAATGCTTCTTTATAATCCTTCATTTGTTTAACTTTCTGATTAAGTCTGTACAAACTTAAAAATGCCTAAAAAGGTCCAGTTGGGTAGCACAATCAGTAGCAAACTGAAATGCAGTGCTGGCAGCCACATGGCAGACTGAGTTCAAGCCGGAGATTGACCTAAAAACATGCCTAGCTCATGTACACATGCCCAAGATCCTGCAGAGCTGGGAGAAGGGGTTTGTAGCACAATGAGATACTGTGAGGGTGCTCTTCTCTCTGTCTCTCTGTCTCTCTGTCTAGGGCATGTGCACATGCTATCATAAATAAAAAATAAATAAACTTTTTAAAATTGCTTAAGTTATTTTCATACTTTGTACACTCACAGTGAAACAGAGTAGGTAAGTAAAGACTCAGAAATGGTTGTAAAGCCTGCGTCCACCCCACACCCAGCTGGGTCTCACCCGCCAGTCAGCATTTCTATCTCCGATGATGGCTGGAAGCTTGTGTGTGTGAGGCAGTGTCTGTAAACCCGACGGAGAGATCTCTTTGAGCTCACCTGCACACTTCAGGTAGATCTGGGATTCTTTCTATCATCTGGTGGTGAGGCCAGATGCACCCAAAATCTGAGGGGTCTTTGAAAAGTTCACGGAAAATGTGTATCATAAAAAAAATTGTGTGTGAATTTCAAAAAATCCTTTGCAGGAAAATCAACTCGTACTTCAGCTCCACCGTTTATGAACTTTTCGAAGTCCTCTCATGTTACTCTTCCCTAGTAATTCCCCAGGATATGCAGCAGCCATTCTGGCCTCCGTGCTGTCTCCGCGGTGGTCCTGTGAGCTGGAGAGGAACAGGAGTCTGACCCTCCAGTTGTCCCGCCCTCTCAGTTTGAGAAGCACATTCCTTACCATAGACTAGCTGATGCCGTACCCCATTTCCGAGCGTCTGCTCTAACACCGGTACATCTATGCAGAGTTCCCAAAATTCAGCTTCATAGACTAGCTGATGCCGTACCCATTCCTGAGTGTCTGCTCTAACACCGGTGCATCCACGCAGAGTTCCCAAAATTCAGCTTCATAGACTAGCTGATGCCGTACCCATTCCCGAGTGTCTGCTCTAACACCGGTACATCTACGCAGAGTTCCCAAAATTCAGCTTCATAGCCCGCACCTCCATGCTCTTACGTCGTAAAAACTGCCGTACACACTACAAAGGCTTTTGCCAGGGCAGTTGATTTTTATCCCCTTCCCAAGAGATGACCTGGAGGTGGGGAGCCCGGGCAGCACAGGTCCGGCTCTGGATTCACCCCTCAGATGAGAGCGCGTGATGGGAATGCAGTGCTCAGTTCTGAAATGACAAGGGACCCCAGAGCCGGAGAACCAGGCTGTCTTCCCCACACCATGGTACCCACCTTCCAGCTCTGAATAGACCCAATCCTACCCTGAGAGAAGGCCAGTCCTCACCTCAGAGCCATTCCCTAGGTCTGCCGTACCAGCTCACACAAACTGGAGTGCGTAAAGCCACAGAGGTGACTTCTGGGGTCCTGCAGGCTGGAAATCCCAGGTCAGGCTGGTTCCT